AACGGAGGCCGTCCGATCGGCCTGACTTTTTTATGGTATCAGACGCAAGGGCAGGACTGCCCTGCCAAGGCTTGCAATTCCAGCAGAAACCACAGGTACCGGTTCTGCGTCGTTGGAGAATGCCATGGGAATGCTTTCCTACTTCGGGCTCGAAAGTGATGAGATATGAACCAATTTGGAAGGTTCCGTTCGTGTCCCTTGTGGAGAGCACAGATCTCCGGGGAGGTCTGCGCTTAAACAAATGTCGTGTACAGTAGAGGTTCCCTCCTCACAGCCTGAGTCTACCCTTGCCTGAATAGCAAGATGTTTTTTCTCTACCTGATAGCTGAGGTTATGCTTTACTTGATATGTCAAAATTTTTTTTCCTCTTTCCATTTTGAGCATGGGCAATAAAAAGCAAGGATGGGCTCTGCCACAGTTGGCACACTTGAGGTCGTTTTAGCATATATCGGCGACATGGTCAGTCCCGACCCCCATTCTACAGATTTCCTTTTAACGAGAGTTGTGTAAACCGTGCTTAAAACGTTGGCAGATGAAATAGCGCTGAAGGGTTCGGAATAAATAAGCAGATTCTGCTGTTCAAATACCCTGCTTTATCGTTATCGGTGGAGGGGAGCAGCGGTTATTAAGTGCTTTGTGTGTTTTTCCTCTCCGTCACGCCTCATAGTAATCCGTCTGACTGCAACAACTGCAGTTTCCCTCAAACCTTACATCCTTTTCTCTCCACTGCAACCCAGGAGATATCTTCGGAGATGAGATCATCTTCGGAGATGACACCCCAGACAGTGTTCAGTGCCTGGTGAGAGGGAACAAAGTCTGGGTGGTCTCCTAGGCTTGTCAACTTAGGTATTGATGTATTTTGATATTCCTTCTTTACTCCTATAAGGAAGTTCCCAGCCAGCTTTTTTACTTCGTAAGACTTTCCAATGACTTGCTTGAGACAGTTGCCCACCAAAAGGGGTTACATTTTGGACAAAAGGGGTTACATTTTGGACAAAAGTATAATGTCACTTTTAACATTGACGGCAAGAAAACGAGGGTAGGTTTCTGGTTTGCTAGCTTTTGCAAAAAGTAAGGGGAGCAGCGCCAGCCCTTTTAGAGGCCCACGAGCCCAGGCTTTTGATGCTCGGGAAGACATAGAAAGAAAAATTATTTGGTTTTTGTGCTGCGTTGTCAGGCGTGTAGCCAGGATTTTATTTCGCGGGAAGGGGGGGGGGAGGTGTTCAGCCGGCATTAACACCCCCCCCCCCCTCTGTTTTGACAAAGAGGAGTGAGTCCGTTGGTACGGACGTTCATGCAAAGATTAGGGAGGCACTGTTAAGATAAAACGGGTAAAGTTGCATTGCCATTTTTCCAAACGGAGCAGGCTTCATTTCCAGGAATACGGGCGTGGTGGCTCACTGCTCTACTGGCATCGTAGTTGCGGCCCAGCAACGTTAAGAGCTTCCTCACAGCACACCTCACAGCAAACAAACGCCCAACAGAACAAATCGGCGTAGCCCCGGGTTGGAGATGCTCCGCGCTCCCCCTTTGCTCCGTGCCCCGTGCAAAACCGATTGCGTGAACAGGGGAGTGAGCGGGCCCCGGGGCGAGAGACTCGACTCCCCAAACCTTTACCCCCCTCCTGCCTACGCCACTGTGCGCTGCCCACCACCGAGCCCAGCACGGGGACAGCCAACGAGCAATAACAAAAAGGGTTTTGCTGGATAAGTTGGCCTATCAGTGCTGCCCAGGCACTATACCCACGTGCTGTTCAAGATCGTTCAAGTTGAGGGTATTTATCGCCACTCAAAGTTGGCATTTGCCGCCAAAGGAGAGGGAACCAACAAGTAGAAATATGGTGAAAAGAGAAATATGAGAGGAGACATTAGATGGAGATGGGAATAACTCAACCATTCGAGCCGAGCCTCATAAAGACATTCGTTTATAGGAAGCAGAGGCCAAAGTGGTGTATTGCATTGTCCAGTGGGCCTTTCGGGACCCACCGGGCGAGGCAACCTACGACTGACTTACCTCAATCACAAGGATGCCCTTTTCCCCGGACGCGGGCATGCCACACACAGTCAGGCGTGGGTGGCTGAACCTAAATCCCTGCGATTAACACTTTGCTAAGCTTCGACACCAATTGAAGTGCCGACGCGCTCTTGCATTGGTGTCCGGTTAAGAAGATCATAGCGTGTTTGATTCTACCACACACTCGAGTTACGGTTTGGTACCTTGGCGTTTGAAAACCTACCCGCGTCCAGCGTTGCCCTTTCTGGATTGACACGTTACATGACCTGCCGGTGTATCTCGGAACATTACGAACACAGCCATGATGGGCGAGTTAGGAAGAACATGGTGGACAGCGTGCTAGCAGACGACAGAAATGAGGACAGGAGGGCCGGAGGGGAGGACTGGTTGCTATCTCGCAAAGCGTTATCAAAGGACTTTAGGTCAACTCAGATGGCTCGGGGTGCGTGATGACGCCATCACCAAACACCTATCGACTCTGGTGCCCTTTGTGCGGGACCGTATTGGCGTCTAGTGTTCATGAACGCTACAGCCGCCACTCGGCCACCCAAATGTTGATCTAGTATCGTCTCCTTAAAGGCAAATTGATCTATAGTAAGGGTTTACGCAAAAAAAAAACAGTGGGACAAAACGTGCGAGGAAACACGGGGCAAGATGTACCTTGTCCTACAATATTTTTCTGTGTTGACTATCAGTTTTTGTTCCTATGCTTTTGACGTAAAACCTTAGCTAGTATGAAAACCAACCAGCCAACTTGCATTTTATATTGATCATTGCAACAGCTGTAATGTGTGGAAAACCTAAATTTCTGCATCCTTCTGCGTGGTGCCGAGGTAAGCATTTTCAGCGGGTGGAATAGCCTCAATGACTCCCCCATCGTGTCCAGTGCCAAAGCCGACATTCCACACCAGTCAAAGACCTTCCGAATCATCTCACACCTACAGCAGCGAGACTGGCGCGCTCCGCTTGACTATTGGTGTACATCTGGTGGTGCGAAAAGGTTCGGGTTATAGTACCGGCCCGGCAATTCTCGCCGGGTTGACACCGTGGGCTCTCCACATAGACGATTGATTGCATACACGGACAAAACACACTGTGTAGCAGAGATAGAGGGAGAAGGAGAGAAGGATTCAAGGACCACACAAGGAGGGTGCAAGCAGTTGTCAAAAGGGTACTCTTAGGACTTGAGCTTTGATGATACTGAGAGTTGGATGCGAGAGCTGTAATGGTTGTCGGAGGACTGACGAGAGAACCGGACTTGGCCGACGGGTATGTCGGTCAGTAAACTGTTTTGTTTACACTCGCTGGGTTGTATGCCTTCCTTGGAAGCGACTGGAGTGAAGCTTAATGGGATTGGGCGCTATATGAGGCCAAGTGACATACAAATCTTTTTACTGCGATGGTTTGTGATCTATGAGTTTAAAATTTACCATGTAGCTTCACCGGTATACGAAGGAATAGCCAAACACGTGTCAAAACAGACCGTAGCATGGCGCCGACAAATTTAAGGAGCAGTGTATAGCTTTGTCTTTTTTACAGCAGAGGTTATGTGGCTGTTTGGAAGCACATAAAATTTACAAACAATTTAAACTTTTGATTGCCACCGCAGGCTATACCCGGGGCATAATCGGGTGGTTTCAGTTTTGGTTTGCTCCTTGCCCTTCCCAAATGCGCTATTATTTTTTTATTGTGTAGCAGCTTGTATGATTAAGCGATGAAAATAATGGTATATTTTATGGTGTCACCTTTGAACGGAATGTAGTTTGTGTTTTAGGCATCTTTTTGTTTGGTACGCTTCTTCGCTGTCTCAGAATGGCAAATATACTTCGTTCAACCTTGCACTTTATGACGAACACTGAGAGAAATAATAAACAGCATTTATCAAAGAACAGACGCAGTCTTTGTCCCTCAGGTCGGTGGTCTTCTCAGTTAAGGCGACAATGGTCCTTGGCTGACCGCCGGGCCCTGTCAATCAGCTCGATCTGTTCGCCAGGGTCCACACTCGACAGCCGGCCCTCCCACTGCTTTTTAGTGTGTCTCTCTATGGGTTGTATCACCGTGCTGCCTCCCCATCCCCACATCATGTGGTGGAGGTTGTTGGGCACCCTTTGGGGCCTTGCAGTCATGTTTGTAGCGGGCTGGATGTCTAAGGAGTTAGAGTGTACCATGTAGATAAGTATTGGTTTGCAGCTCCCTCCAAAGGACTGCTTTTTCCCTAGATAACTTCGCGTGGGGTGGTGGATTGACCCCTCTTCTGAGTTGCCAGTGATCTGGTTTATCTGCACTTCTTTTAGGGACTCCTTCATCAGGGCTCAACATGGCTCGGTCGATCGGCAGGGAGGCCCAGAGAGTATAATATTGAGCCAAGGCGCGGGCTGCCTTATTTCCCGCCAGATTCTCGTGCCCCGAGCTAAGACTATCTGGATTTACAGAAGCTCTTTCTTTCTTGTCAGCATTTGGTGAGCCGCTGCTGTCATCCCCCCTCCCCCCCCCCCCTTCCCTGGAAATTTTTGCATGCTGCCTGTGAGTTTCTGATTATTGCGAGGCGTTCCCTGCTTGTGGTAGCCGCAAAAGCGATGGCCGTTTCTTCCGCCACTTCTGTCTCTTGGGCCCTGATTGTCGCTGCTACCAGCTCCTTTCCGCTGCCTTCCACCGCGCAGGCTCCAAATGCTCCTTACCCTGCATACTTAACTGCATCGGTGTATCTTGTAGACTCCACTTTCCCCTCGCCTCGTTTTCAGAGAGCTTCCACCCTGGTTCTGATGCGCTCTCTGTGGTGTTCCGGACTAAGATTTCTAGGGATGGGCGCCACCCTTATCTTGTTTCTCAGGTCTAACGGGATTCACTGTTGGCCTCTTGTTTCCCCATTTGTCATGTAGTCTAGCCATTCCAGCCTGGCTCTGCCCGCGGCCGTGAGGTTCAGTCTTTCCACTTGACTTATTTTGTAGGTCTCTAGTCTCTACCATCTCCTTCCACAGGTTGTAGACCTAAAGTTGCATGACCCTCTCCGTCGAGGTTGGTGGATGTAGCCCAGCGCCAGCTTGTATACTCTGTTCACCCTTAAAGGGTAACTGCAAAGAAAAAAGTGTATTTCGTGCTGAGGTTGCCTTGCTGCATGCCCATCCGGGAGGAAGAACACGAAGCCATAACGCGAGGGGAAAGCGAGAAACCATAACGAGAAACTCATTTGTTAGAGTAACAGGTATGGGTTGTTAGTATCAACGTAAAACATTGCCGGAGCGTTCGAACTGTACGCCTCCGTAACCGCGATCCGTCTCCCCCCTTCTGTGGGCGTGTGCCCTCTTTTCTTGGCTTCTATGCCCGTCCCACGTGCGCTGTTTCGTGCCTCAGATGTTCTCCAGTTTGGGCGGCCGGCAGCGGCCTCTGTCCATGCTGGCAGACTCTCGCTCCCACACTCCCTCCCCCCCCCCCCCCCCGCGAACCTTAAGCGTCTGGCATGTCGATGCCAGTGTCGTCGTGGTCCTCATAGGGAGGGGGTCCTCGTCGAGGGTGTGGACGGCGGTGCTGTATCGGCGCCGCCGTCCACAATGAGCGAGGCGACCAGCGGGGTTCTGAAGTCTTTTCAGCCATGGCAAGGCTAAATAATCACATTGAATTTGGAATGTTGCGCCATCGAAATACATGTCAAATCGCTTTCGCTAAGCATTCCCTTTCTGCAACAGTGTAGTTACGCTGTGCGGAATGGAGGGTCTGACTTGCGAAAGCAACCGGGCGAAGTATACCGTCATGTTCCTGCGGTAAAACAGCTCCGTCGCCGCAATCGCTTGCATCTGTCTGCAAAACGAATGGTTGGTTTAGGTCGGGAAGATGCAAACACGCGCTTTCTGTCATTGCCTTTGATAAGGCTATAAATGCGCTTTGTTGTTGTTCGCTCCAAGACCATTTGACGCCTTTTCGAAGGAGGTGATTAAGTAGCTGAGAAATCTCGGAGCAGTAACGAATGAATTCCCTATAGAATGCAATCATTCCGAGATATCGCTGCAAACTTTTCACGTCATGGGGGCACGGGTACTCAGTTAGTGCGCGCAGCTTTTTCTTCGTTGGGACGGAGCGTACCGCTATCGACGAGAAATCCGAGGAGGTTAATTTTGGGCTCGGCCAATTGAACTTTCCCCGGATTGATTGTTAGGCCCTCGTTCTGCATCCGCTCAAGCACGATAGTCAAGTGTTCAAGACGCTCCTCGAATGTACGCGAAAAAACAACAACGTCATCCATGTATGCCATCGCGAATTCGTACTTTGCGTTTCCCGAGCACAACGTCTATCAGACGTTGAAAGCTCGCTGGCGAGTTGGACAAGCCAAAAGGCAAGCGGGTGAACTCGTACAACCCTCTGTGGCAAATGAAAGCGGTTTTCTGCACGCCTAACGGGTGCACCTCTATCTGAAGGAATTCGCGGCTGCAACCCAACGTGGTAAATGTCTCGCGGGGTAGGAGTGACCAGCCACACCGGAGTCCGGAACCCAAGTGTTTTATTATCACTTCTCTCGAACTGAAGACAACCCCGAGCATGCGCACTAGCATGGAAGGAAGTACGCGTCGCCGCGGGGCACGCGAGTGAAAACTGTCGTGTCATCAGTACATCCCCCCTCCTAAGTTTTACAAGTCCAGACGTACCGGTCGCCTAAGTTGGCGGCCCGACCTAGTGACTCTTATCGGCGTATTGTCCGTCGACGTTGATGTTGAAGGGGAATTCGTCAAGTTCGTCGGCGCTGCTGTTGGTGCATGCTCAACTGCGATCGGCTGTTGTTGGCTCCCTGTACCCGGACTTGCTCTTGCCGTTGAGTTAGCCGAACTGGCTGGAGCCGTAGTCTCATTGGTCGAACCGCCGGGATCCGAAGCGTCGAAGCCCGCCGGAGACGCGTCGAATAGTACCAGGTGCCGGCGGTTGCGTTGCAGGACTCCTGTCCCGGTCTCGACTACGTAGGAGCGCGGCCGCTTCCCTGGACTGAGGACTGTTCCTCGGCACCGCACGTTTTGTACCCATATGTCCTCTCCTACGGACAGCAGGCGAAGTTGGCGAGCGGCGTGACGGCGATTGAAGTCCTTTCGCTGGCGTCTTCGGGCTTCCCCGTCTTTACTTTTGAAGTCCCGACGTGATGGCCACCCCGGCTGCAACGTCTCTGGCATTTTCGGTACCTTTGTCTGCAACCGCCGGCCCATTAGCAGTTGGGACGGGCTGTAACCGGTTACTCCAGGGGTGTCTTGATACACCAGGAGGGCCATGTGCGGGTCTCTTGACTTGTAGAGCAGCTCTTTCATGGTCCGCACCATACGCTCCGCTTCCCCATTCGCCTGTGGGTAGCGTGGGCTGCTCGCGACGTGCTGTAAACCGTAGCTCTGGGCAAACTCGGTAACTGTCTCGAAGAGAACTGCGGCCCATTGTCCTATACCAGCAGGTCGGGGATCCCAAACCGGGCGAATGTGCTCTTGACTGCTGCGACGACGGGCGTTGACGTCGTCGACGTCAAGCTGATAACCTCTGGGAACCGGGAGTAATAGTCCACGACGAGCACGTAGTGTCTCCCCTCGAGATCGAACACATCCTCACCGACTCTCTGCCATGGACGACTGGGAGTCGGTGTGCTGATGAGTGGCTCGGAGCGCTGTACTCTTGTTTGGGCGCACCGCTCGCAGGCTGACACAAGTTACTCTATTTCGCTGTTTAGAGTAGGCCACCAAACTGCGTCCTTTGCTCTTGCCTTGCAGCGTCCGATGCCCTGATGGCCTTCATGTATCAGCGGCAGTATCTCGTGTCGCAGCGAGCGCGGATGAAGATGCGGCGGTTTTTGAGTAATAAGCCATTGCACACGGTGATGTTCCCACGTTCCTTCCAGTACTCTCGTAGATGCACAGGAACTCTGGACACCTGTTCTGGCGACCCCTTTTGCAGAACCGTTGCAAGCCCCAGCAGATGCATCTTCTGCTTGGTGCTTTCGTAGGGCTTCCAGGCGGGATGACACGAAATCAGCGGCTGCTGAAACCACTTCGCCGTCGAAAAGTTATATGGAGTCCACCCGACGTTGCCAGCGCTGATCCAGCTCCTGCACCGGGGCCCTTGACAGGGTATCCGCCGTAGCTAACAGTTTGCCGGGGACATAGAGAACGGCGAACTGGTAGCGCATGAGGCGAATGCGTAGTCGCTGAATTCGATGTGGCATCAGATCCATTCCGCAGATCCCAAGAGCGTGACGAGAGGGCGATGATCCGTTTCGATTTGGAAGTCGATGCCTCTCAAAAACTGATCGAGGCGCTCGACCACCCACGTTACCGCCAGGGCTTCCTTTTCGGTCTGGCTGTAGCGAGTTTCGGTGGTTTTGAGAGCCCTTGATACATAGGCCACTGCCCGTGTCTCGCCGGAGGGCTGATCTTGAAGCAGGACGGCCCCGAGTCCATAAGAGCTTGCATCAGCTGAAACTACTATTGGGTAGGACGGGTCGTACTTGGCCAAGCAGATATGAGAGCTAAGCATGTTTTTCAGCTTCTCAAAGGCAGCTTGCAGGCTTGGTCCCCAGTACCAGGAGTTGCGATGTTGCAGCAGTTCTCTGATTGGCGCCATGACGTCCGAGGGGTGTGGGATGAAGCGCCCCACGTGGTTCGCCATTCCTAGCAGTCTTCGTACCCCGCTAACGTCCGAGGGTATCTGCAACTTCTCCAGGGCCTCTATCTTTTCGGGGTCCGGGCTGATTCCTCTCGCGCTGATGAACACGCCGAGAAACTTGACTTCTGAGGCAGCGAAGCTGCACCTCTTCTTGTTCAGCTTGACGCCTGCCTCGTCGAGCCTTTGCAGCACTTGCTAAAGTCGACGATCGTGTTCGCCCTTTGACGCGCCGAATACGAGAATGTCGTCGATCATGCTCACAACTTCTTCCAGTCCCTCTAGAATGCGACTCATCTGACGCTCGAAGTAATCTGGCGCTGAACAGATGCGAAAAGGCAGCCTGCGGAAACAGAACCTTCCCACCGGGGTTATGGACGTCGTCAGCTCCTGACTTTCTTCAGAAAGCCTCACTCGGTGGAAGCTTGCAGTGGCGTAAAGCTTCGAGAAAACATTTGTTTGCCCGAGACGTCCGAGGATGTTCTCAACCGAAGGTAAAATGTGACGTTCCCTTAGTACGACTTCGTCGAGGCGCGTGAGATCTACGCAGATGCGGTAGCCTCCTCCTGTCTTTGGAACGACCACCATACCCGCGCACCCGTTTGTGGGGCGGTCAGCCTTGCGGATGACTCCTTCAGACTCTAGCTTCTGGAGCTCCCCACGAACGACGTCGTGCAGCGGGATCGGGACCCTCCTCGGTACGCTTAGAGCGAACGGCTTGGCGCCAGGTCGAAGCCGGATGACGTACTCCTCCTTTACCTCCCCCAGACTGTCGAAAAGCCTGTCTCTCCGCAGCACCGCTGGTGTCGCCACATCGTCGACAAACTGAATTACTCCCAGCGCCTGTATTGCCGGGAAGCCGAGAAGAGGTGGGTGTTGTGATGGCATGGCGTAAATGTCCTGCACGGTCGACTTGTCCCTCCATTGCAGCGTTGCGGGGAACGTGCCCAGTACTTTCAGGGGGTTTCCGGGGCCCGTGAGCTCACCTTCTGGTGCATGAAGCTTTTTCGCTACTCCAGGAAATGAACTCGACACCACGGTCACCTCCGCTCCAGAGTCCACTTTGAAGTTCACGTTGTGTCCGTTGACGGCCACGGTTGCGAACTTGGCTCTGGTACGGGCGCCTGCCATAACTGTGTGCAGCTCGACAGAGCCCATGGCTTTTTTCTCGCGGACGGTTTCGAAGTGTCCAGCTTTCTTGCACCACCTGCATCTTGCCTCTTTTGCAGTACAGTCGGAGCGGGGGTGAGGTGCCCTGCCGCAAAACCTGCAGCGTCCGTTGCTTGTGCAAGGCTTGGAAGTCCTCGCTGCGCCTTCGCCCGCCAAGTCGGAACGCCGTTGTGACTTCGGAAGACGTTTTTGCACGTTTGCTTCGGAGACCAGAATGCCAGGATTTGGTTCCTTCTGGAAAAATTCAGAACGGGCCTTCACGGCGTCTTCGTGAATACGGGCCTGAAGTCTCGCGTCTTCGAGCGTGAGCCTTGGCGTGCGACATAGCTTGTCTACCAGCTTAGAGTCCAGGTGACCAACGACGAATCTATCGCGGACGAGGCGTTCTTCGACTTCCGCGGAGGCGTAATTGCACTTTTTGACGAGCGTACGTAGTGCTGAGTAAAAGTCGTCTACTGTCTCGCCTTCAGCCTGGACGCGACGGTGGAAGCGCACGCTTTCGTAGACTTCGTTGACCGGGTGGATGAAGTGGTCGGTGAGCTTCGTCTTCACCGCTTGAAGAGAGCACCAGTCGTCGTTTGTCAAGGCCAACGTGTCCAGGAGTCGACGAGCCTCACGAGAGCCCATGGCGTACAGCAGTGTCCTGACTTGCGCTTCGCCCGGTGCCTGGTAGAGCCCAGAAGCGTAGCAGTAGTCGTCGAACAGGAAAACCCATTCCTCCCACTCGCCGGGGTTCGAAAAGTCGAACTTCGGAGGCGGCTGGATACCGGCGGCGCAGAACTGCGTAAGCTTAGCGTCTTCGTCCGCAATGGCGGGCGTTGCAGGATGCGTCACGTCGGCGGCTCACTCGCTGCGTCGCTCCTCCGGGACGGATCGCACTTCTGACACCATGTCTCGCGGAGAAGGAAGGACTAGGTGTTTTATTATCACAACTCTCGAACTGAAGATAACCCCAAATATGCGCACTAGCATGGAAGGAAGTACGCGTCGCCGCGGGGCACGCGAGTGAAAACTGTCGTGTCATCACTACAGTGACCACCGTCGCGTTACCGAGCGCGTACATTATAAAGGAAATGCTGGGAAAAGGGTAACTGTCCCGTACAGACACCTCGTTAAGCCGTCTGTAATCTCCGCAGAGTTTGGCAGTTCCATCTTCTTTCGGAGCGAGAACGACAAGAAATGCCCAAGGGCTCTTTGACTCACGTACTGCGCCGGTGTCCAGCATCTCCTGAAGACCCACGTCCAGGAGTTCTCTTTTGTGCACGCTGATGGGGCGTGGATTGCACCTCCAAGGCGGTGCGTTACCGGTTTCAATCCGATGCAGCAGGATGTCTGTCTTTCCTGGTCGCTCCGTGAACATCGGAGAGAACGGCCGCAGGACGTCCTCCAGTTGTCCCTTCTGGAGGTCAGTGCCCGGACACTTCTGTAGGGTATCCGAGATTTCGGATGGTAGGGCAGCTGCAGGCGTTGTGAAGTGGGCTGAAAGGGTTGGGCCAGTGATGCAGTTCTCTCGTCTGGTGAACGGAGTCAGATCCGCCTGGTTTATCAGACGATAGCCGCCACCAGGGAAGTCGAGCGTCATGCTTACGCCTGCGATAAAATCTCGACTCAAGATCACGGGTACGGCGAGTCCCGGGAGATACAGAAAGCGCTGACGCCGTTTCTCCTCATTAAATGAAATTTTAAGCCTTGCGGCTCCGTCCGCCGATATTGTTGACCCGGAAACTAACTGCAGACGTGTGCCTGCCGAAAGGAAGGTTATTTTCTTTATTTTTGCACAGTCCATACGCAGCGTCCCCTATAAGCGGGATAGCAGCCCCGGTATCCAAAAGCGCGGCAGAAGGAAAACCGAGCAAAGTGATCGTCATGCGTGGCTCTATCATTTCGTGTTTAGGCTGAATTCGACATACCGATGGAACAAGTGACGCTGCGTGCGTGATCCCGGCTGTGATAGTGGCCATCGGCGGCTCTGCAGTGGGGCTCATTGCCGCCGGCCGTAATAGTTTCGCGATTGGGGTGCCACGTGACCGTCCGGATTTTCACGGCCCATAGGCGCGCGAGGGTTGACCGGATTTCCACAATCCCTCCGCTCACTTCCAGTCCTTCCGTAATTTGTTTCGTTCTGCCTCGGGTTTGTATTTGGCACTCTCTTTGGAAGTGGCCGCGCCGTCCACAGTTGTGGCATTGGTCCGAATACCTGCTTGAGTCGCCGGCACCAGGGCGCTCTTCGGACGTCCTCCAGTGGCCCCGCGTTGAACCAAAACTACAGCGCATCCGGCTGCTTTGATTGGGCACTCTTAGCCAGTCCCGTGGATTTCTTAGCGCTGGGATTGCCTCGGGGCCCTGCAAAGCACATGCGGGTTCGAGAGAGTTTGCGGTCAAAGGTGGTGGGAGATAGCTCTTCTGAGCGAGGTAGATCTCCTCTGTGCTGCGGGCATGCCGGGCTAGCTCTTCAATAGTCTCAAAGGTGCGGCCGTGTAGGTACACGTGGTACTTTGAGTGACATTGTCTGAGGACCCGAGCTATAATCTCCGACTCGAAGGCAGTTGGTTGTGCCCTTCGTGTGAGTTCCTCCAATGCGCGAACATACTGAACCAGGCTTTCGTTCGGGTGTTGCATTCGAAACTCGAGTTCTTTCAAGATTTGTAACTCGTAACTAGGTGGCAGGAACTTTGCTCGGAATTGCCGCTCGAACCCCGCTAGGCCGGTGAACGTAGGTTGTAGCCTTAACCAACACGCAGCGCTAGACTGCAGAGCGAGAGGGAGTATTCTGCTTATCACGAGGGATTCCGAGGCGCCTGAGGCGGCTTTGTAGTCGTCGAGCTCACCCAGAAAGTCGGCGATTGACTTCCCCTCCTTGTAGCTAGTGTACACCGGCACCGTCAGCTGGGGACGCAGCTCCGGCTTACGTGACTGCTGCACGGCGAGACGCTGTGTGACCGCATCACACATGGCTGCCACCTTCAGTAGCAATTCGGCCTGCGCATCCGCCGTGCCTGCTCCGGGATCCATGCTTGCTCCAGGCTTTTCGCCATCCTTTGTCTCGGACCGTAGTGTGGGAGACATGGCGGAAAAAAAAACAGAAACGCCAAGCAGACAAGAAAACGTGTGCGGCAACAGGCAACATACTCCACTCAAGAAACTCCACTCAACATACTCAAGAAAAATAAACACGCCCCAAGAGCGATAAACACGCCCCCGCGTGACTAAGCAATGTTTTGAAGCTTCAATTCAATGAGCACTCGCGCTGTCGCGAATGTCATCACTACTTGGAAAAGAAGCACCGCGGTTGAAAAAAAATTACCAAGAGAGAGATAGAGAGAAAAAACTTTTAATAAACAATTCGTTTGGCTCTTCCGAGGCGAGAGGAGCCCTCATTCCAGGGCCCTGTAGCTGTCGCTGCGGCACGGGCCCGCGAGACCAGATTACGCTGGTCGTCCGGATCCCAGCTGGACAGCGCAGCTTCCCACTGCTCGGCGTTTGGGTTGGGAACTGGGGGGGCAGCCTGAATCTTAGGGCATGCCCACGTGATGTGATATAGTGAAGCCTTTTCGGTGCACAGGGGACATTTGTTTGTGGGGTATACTGTAGGGTACATGACATGTAAGAGGCTGAGGTGGGGGAAAGTATTTGTTTGCAACATGCGCCAACCTACAGCGTCCTCCCTCGTTAGAGATTTGTGCGGCGGAGGAAGGGTGCGGCGACTCAATCGGAGATGTTGAAGGATGTCACGATAGGTAAGGGGGATCGGGATGGGGACCAGGGATGGGTCTTCCTGCGGTGGCGGGGCCCGGAGAGTTAAAGCTCGGGCTGACGCGTGTGCGCGTTCGTTCCCGCTCAGGGAATTATGCCCCGGCGTCCATATCAAGGATACTGTAGGGAGTTGTTCAGGGGGGTGATTAGTTAAAATTCGATGAGCAAATCTGGAGAGGCGACCGTTGACAAAACTACGGCAAGCCGCCTGCGAGTCAGTAATTATTGAAAGAAATGTGATAGCTGGGGTGGACGTGATAGCGAGCGCTATGACCGCTTCTTCTGCCTCGAGTGGGAGGGAGGTAGGAACGGTCGCGGTGGTTACTTCTCGCATGTCTTCGTCGATTACGCTGACAGCCATGGCCAGTCGACCCGGGTAACTGGCGGCGTCAGTGTATCTGACGTGGCGGGCATATTGAAGTTTCTTCTGAAGAGTGCGGGCGCGAGCCTGTCGTCTCCCCTGATGGAACTCGGGGTGCATGTTTTTGGGTATTGGAGCAACTGAAATTTTGGTGCGATAAGCAGCAGTGAGGGGAATTGTTTCACTGTGGCCCAGGGTTTGAATTGGATAGCCCAGACGAGTTAGAACCTGCCTGCCTGCAGGTGTTAGCTTGAGACGTTCGCGTTGACCTGTGAGGTGTGCTTCAATGTGCTCTTCGACGGTATTGTGAATGCCGAGAGACAAGAGACGTGGTGTCGAGGTTCCGGGTGGAAGACCGAGGGCTTGTTTATAAGACCGGCGAATCAGTACTTCGAGTTTTTCTCGTTCCCGAGGTTTGAGGGTCAGATAGGGGACAGAGTAGGTTACACGGCTAATGATGAGTGCCTGGATGAGACGGGTAGCGTCTTCCTCTTTCAGGCCGTGTCGTCTGTTGGCAATTCGTCCCATCATACGAAGGATTTGATTCGTGGTATGCGTAAGACGTTGAAGCGCGTGTGATCCTCCGCCGTCTTGTTGGAGAAAGAGGCCGAGAATCCTAATGCATGTCACTTGCGGAATGACTTGATTCTCGAGTGTGAGAGTAAGCTGTGGCGGATCATAAGAATTGTTCCGGCATTTCTTCTTTACAATGAGCAGCTGCGATTTTTCAGGCGCACATTGAAGACCCCCACCACGTGCATACCGTTGAACCACGTCGGTCGCGCGCTGTAAGGCATCTTGGATCTCCCCGTCAGAGCCGGAGGTGGCCCAGATAGTAATATCATCGGCGTAGAGGGCGTGATAGACACCCTCTATTTCTGCGAGTTGGGCAGGGAGCTTCATCATCGCCACGTTAAACAACATAGGCGACAGAACCGCTCCTTGTGGCGTTCCCCTGTTGGGAGTGGGGAGAGGTTGGGTCCGAAGGTCGCCAATGCCGATCGTGGCTGTGCGGTTTTGTAAAAATGCTTGAATGTAAGCAAAGGTTCGTTGACCACAGTTTAGATCACTGAGATTGGTAAGTATGATGTCGTGACTCACATTGTCAAATGCCCCCTTCAGATCCAGCGTCAGGATGGCTCTAGTGCTGTGAGCGGAGACTTGTCGATTGATATCCTCGTGTAGTTGGAGGAGGATGTCTTGCGTACTGAGGTGCGGACGAAAGCCGAAGATTGTCGGTGGTAGGAGGTTGTTGTTCTCGACGTATGGCTGGAGCCGGTTGAGTATCACGTGCTCGAATAGCTTCCCAATACATGAAGTGAGAGAGATGGGCCTCAGGTTCTCCAATTTGGGTGGTTTGCCGGTCTTGGGGATCAGGATGATATCGGCATGTTTCCACGCTGCCGGTAATGTGCCTTCCTCCCAATGCTGATTAAAGAAATTGGTGAGGGCTTGGATGGAAGGGTCGTCTAGGTTTCGAATGATACGGTTTGTAATCTTGTCCGCACCGGGGGTGGTATTGCGGGTAAGAGCCTGGATGGCTTGATTCAATTCGGCCAAAGTGATGGGATTATCAAGGTCCGCGTTGGGGGCACCACAGTATTCCATGGGCTGAGAGGGCGGATGTTGTTGCCCTATGTACTTGTCCCACAGAGCGTCGAGAATGTCCTTGCTTGTCCCTGGATATTGATGTAGGAGTTTTGTGATAATATGCCGGGTGGCTGACTTGCTCTTGGTGGGGTCAAGCAGGTGGCGCATCAGGGACCAGGTTTTGGCGGTGCCCAGGGTGCCCTGTAGGCTGTTGCAGAACTGTTGCCAGTTCTGTTGCATGAGGTCCACAGCGTAATCAGCGGCCTCCTCTGTGAGCCTTGCTATCCGAATCTTGAGGGTCCTGTTGTGCTTCTGCCGACGCCATCGCTTGATCAAGCTTCGTCGAGCTTCCCACAGATGGAGTAAGTGGGGGTCAACGGCTTGTCGTTCGTCGGTTAACATGATATCTTTGGCATAAGCGGAGACGTCGTGTTGTAGAGCGCTCACCCATTCGTCGCAGGAAATGATCTCTGAAGTGGAAGTGGTTTCTCTCTGCTTACGAAACTCGTCCCAATTAACGAGTCGTGTCTTTTTGATGTAGGAGTTCTTGCGAATGAGGGGGACCGTAGTGATGAGAATGCAGTGGTCACTTCCGAGCGTTTCCTCGGTGTTGCACCATTCAGCGTCTGCGAGCCTCTTGGTCATTGTCAAGTCGGGGCACGTGTCACGCGACACACTGTTGCCAATCCTGGTAGGGCAGGCAGGGTCTGTGTGTACTGTGAGGCCCTGTTGATGGATGAGCTCCCACAATTTATTGCCTTTCACGGTCGCCTTGCCGTATCCCCAAGCTGGGTGCGCCGCGTTAAAGTCGCCCAGGATGACGACGCCGTTCTGCTTGGCTAGTTTGAAAGTCGCGGCGAGCAGGTAGGCAAAATTCTCCTTTCGTCGACTTGGTGGACTGTAGACATTGAGCACGAAAATACTCATCTGACCCCTTTTTGCAGGCAGGATCTCGATAAGGTTATGGTCGATGTTACTGCCATCAATTTGGTGCAGAACAGTGGTGAGTGATTTGGCAGTGAGTGTGGCGACTCTACTATCGGCGGACGTTGTATGACAGTTGTAGCCGGATTGCGATGGGACCGATCCGGTTTCTTGAATTGCTATGACATCAGGGAGGGTTTCGGCATCGCATATGTATTGACGAAGAGAGGCATGTTTTTGCTTGTACATACGACAATTCCATTGCTAAATGGTTAGGTTGTGGGAAGTTTGTTGAGCCTGATTATTCATCATGACCGGGTGTATGAGTAGGAAGGGAGGGGGATTCTAGGTTGGGTATTAGTTTTGCTTTTTTGCGGTTTGCGTGGTCAGTATCTTCAGTGTTAATGAGAGTATGAAGGTGCTGGAGCGCCTGTTTCATCTCTTGCAGCTGTTGTTGGGACTGCTCTTGGGACAGCTGCATTTGCTGCTGGATCTGAATGATTTGCTGCTGCATTTGTTGTTGTGATTGTACGAGTGTTTCTCCTAGTCCTGTTTCTATTTGCGAGGGCATGGGGCCAGTGGGTCCGGGGATTACAGCCACTTCATCGGAAGCTGACACTGGTGAAGTTGTTTTTTTCCCCGGATGTGATTTGATTGCGAGTATGACCTGGGAGGGGTCTGGGGGTGGCGAGGATCTTGAGGGTGTAAGGAGTGTTCGGAGTTGCCTATTCTCCTCTCTAAGTTGCCGACTCTCCTCTTTAAGTTGTTGATTCTCAGCCCTTAGTTCCTTTAACTGGTTTAAAATTTCGGTTAGCTGCTGACTAACATCCGGCGCGCAGGACGAAGAGGAAGTGGTCTGCCTCTTTTGGTTGTTTTGTGGGAATAGCCGCGCTGCCCAGCTCATCCTGTTGTTGTCTGTTGGTTGACAGAGTGCTGCTGGTGCGTTGTCGCATTGTGGGTTGCTTGATCGTGTCCTGGAATTGGACCTTGGTCTTGAGGAAGACCGTTGCCTCGGTCCCGTCCTTTGTGGCCCTCTGGAGCGGGAGCGTGACCGAGAGTTGACGCGAGTGTCCTTTCGTCTTCGATGATGGTTCGAGACAGATGTTGGTGGGCGGTGAGCCAGCTTTTTAGGGCACTCCTTGGAGCCCGTAGGGTGGGCGCCTGTGCATAGAGCACATCGGGGCGTACACTCGTGGCCTTTTGTTGGGTTGGAAACACCACACATCACGCACTTAACAGTGTCCGGGTTTGGGCACACATCAGCGCGATGACCGATCTCGTGGCATATGTAGCAGGCGTGACGGGTAGGTAGATACCAACTGCATGGAAGTGCTGCGTGCTCGAAGATGACATATTTCGGTAATTGCTTGCCGGTGAAAGTAATAAGAGCTGTCGATGTTTTTCCGATCATTCGGGCTGAAAGAACTTCATAGCCCGGCGAGTAGAGATTGTCGATTAGTTCTTGGCCAGTGGTCTCGGGCGGAATGCCACGCACCACGCCGCGAGCCGAGTCGTCGGGGGCGGCAATATAAGCGGTAACTTCATATTCGTTGTCACCAAAACGCAGGGTTGGAATGTCTCTGATGTGTCGGGCCAGGTCTTCACTTGGGGTGCTTGCGATGGCGATATTTTGTATTCTGTCCATGCGGACTTGGAATGTTGTCGAGTTTGGTCGGTCGCGGGTATGTTGCCGAGTTTTCTCCGCGATGGCGCGAGAGAGGTGGATAGTCTCGAGGTTGGCAAGATTTAAGGCTCCTCGCGGGCGAATAATAATTTTAAAATCGTCTCGAGGGAGCGGAGGTAGTCTTGGTTGTCTAGTTAGGGCCTTCTGCGGCGTCAGTTGAGAGACTGAGATTGTGGCCTCGGTATTTTGTGGCTTGACCCTTTTGAATCTTCGCCTGCGTATTTCTACCCAGTCCTCTCGTTCAGGTTGTTCTTCTTGGAGGGGGATGCCGGTAGCATCGCTTGCCTCCATGGCCGTTGCCATGCTTGGGTTGTGAGCCGGAGGCGGCGTGGGGCGAAGGCACGTGCCTAGCGCACGAGCACCGGGTAAAATGCTGCGTACCTGGTTAGTAGGCTTAGCGTGGCGGCCGTCGCTTGGGAACTTCGAGAAGCGATATTTCCGAGGGAAATTCACTCACGCGCTGGATGATGGTGTGCACTTGTTCCTTGCGACGAACTGCGTTGATTGAGACCAGAATTGTTGTTGGATTATACTTTTTGCCGGTGATTGAGGTCTCTGAAAGCGGGAGCCCGTGAATAGTACATCAGCGCCAGTTGGCCCTCGTCTTCTTTTTCCTACCAAGAGAAAAAACCCAGCCCCGTGTCGTTCCGACAGAATGGCAGCAAAAGGACGTTGGGCGCCATGTTGTAGGTTTGCCTTGCTGCATGCCCGTCCGGGAGGAACAACACGAAGCCGGGGTTTCCATAACGAGAAACATTTGTTAGAGTAACAGGAATGGGTTGTTACTATCAACGTAAAACATTGCCAGAGCGTTCGAACTGCACGCCTCCGTGACCACGGTCCGTCTCCCCCCTTCTGTCGGCGTGTGCCCTCGTTTGTACGCTTCTACGCCTGTCCCACGTGCGCTGTTGCGCGCCTCATATGTTCTCCAGTTTGGGCGGCCGGCAGTGGCCTCTGGCCGTGGTGGCAGGCTCTCGCTCCCACAATTTTTAAACATCCTAATTGGGACAGGCATGTCACAAAACGATTATTCCGCCCAAAACAAAATGTTTAACAGCAATATTTATTGCGCGACACCGAATTTAGTTTGCGGCTATTTCGTCCGCTTTAAATCGCGCGCCAGAAAGCTGGTATTATATGTCACGTAGCGACTGCTATACGTCACGGAGTGACGTATAACAGCCACTCCGCGCGCGTCGAAAGAGCGGGAGATTTAAATTTGGAGAAGTTGTAACTAAATTACGTCCCATGGTGTAAATATTGCTACAAAAAAATGTTTTTTTTTTTCGCGGAAGTTCGGTTTTGTGACATGCTTGTCCCAAATAGGCTGTTTAAAAAAACTTTTTTTTTTTTGCAGTCACCCTTTAAGCCGAGGTTAGAAACTCCTCCTTCAGCGCGAGCTCGATGACTTCACTAGTGCTTTGGTTCCGTGTGCCTTCGTGTTCGCACATGCTTTAGAAATGGCAGAAAACACCCACTGAAGGCGGAGCTTCTAGCATCATATTAAGGATGAATATAGTATAGGTCTTTCACTGACATTTAAAAATTACCAAAGAACTCGGTATTTGTCGATTATGAAAAAAGAGAATTACAGTTCCGAATTAACAAAGGCCGAGTACGGTCGTTTGAAAGGTGACCTCAGGGTGCGACGTTCAGCTGGCACTGAATAGTACCGTGTCTTAAAACGTACAATACGAGAAATACGTCATAGGGTGAAAGCACGGAATTAACTTTTTGCCCACTAAAAGTGTGTAATTCACAAACAAAACTTTTTCACAGAGAATGCTTCAGCGTTAGACAACTAACTTTGTGTTCGGCGTGATGAAAATGAAAATCTCGAAAGGCAAAATAATAAAAAAAAAATCCTCCCTTAAAAAAATAAATATATCACTGTACAAAATAACAGGCTTTTAATCTGGTTGTGTAAACAAGTAAACAATACACAAATATCACGAGATACAAACCACAAAAGTTCAGCAAATAGAAGTTTAAGCGGCAACTAAAAAGTTCACCCTTAAGCAACTGGCTGGAAATGTCAATGCCCGTGAATAAAATGGCGCCTGCTTGGGGGACGTTAACCTTCTCAAGAGTGTATTTTAGAAGCCAAATTTCAGCAGTATTGGTAAAAGAAAAGCATATTTTGTAAAAAAAAAAAAAAAAAAAAAGTTTTGCTGGCGTTTTGTTTTTACGGTTGTTTCTAAAATTATTTATAATTGTCTCGGACATTTTTTTTTCTTTTTACTGCTTACCGAAAAAGAGCAGAGGCTCATTCAGGCATTGCGTCTTTTTTTCTGCCTCACCCCCCCTCCCTTTTCCTCGCGATTGCTATAAAAGAAAAACAATACTAATAATAATTGCGCGACGACCACACCACGTGATACGTTGAGGCAGCTGCAGCTGTTCTGCTTATTCGACGATCTGACGATTGCGATGCATTGACATTGCGCCGATCGTGAGTCATACGGTGATCTGATATTGATAGGACATTGCGTTGATTTAGCACAAATACGCTGTTGGCGAATAAATTGTTTTAAAGTCGTGATGCTTTTTCTCGCCAAATTTAGCGGGGAAACTAAATTGGCATATAAGTCAAGTGACGTCAAGTTTTTCGCTAAATTGGGCGGGAAACTTGAATTTGTCTGTAGGTCCCGTGGCGTCAGCTCACGTGACATCAATTTTCCCGCCAAATTTAGCGGGGAAGCCAAATTATTGCATAGGTCATGGGACGTAAATTTTTTCGCTAAGGTTAGCGGGAAATTGAATTTGTGCATAGTTCAGGTGACGTTAATTGTTCCGAGAAATTTAGCGTGGAACTTGAATTTTACTGTATGTTCCGTGACGTCGAGTTTCCTGCCAAATTTAGCGAGAGAATTGACTTTGTGCGTGAAGGACGTGACATGAGTTCTTTCCCTAAATTTAGCATGGAAACTGGTTTTATTCTGTAGGTCACGTGACATCAAGTTTCCCGTCAAATTTAGCGGGGAAACTGAATTGGGGTAAAGGTCACGTGACGCCAGTTTTTTTTTTGTTTTTTTTTTTGCCCCTGGGTAGCTTTGGGTGGGGCAGTGGAAACAGATGCGCGCGGAAACAGATGACGTTTTCTGTCACGCCGTCACGAAATCGGGGCATGGGCCACTAAGAGCTCTCGCTGTAAAAGATAAATAAAGCTGGGCAAGGCACCCACGCTTCCTCACTCCCTGCTCTTCGGAGTGGTTGTGTTCAATTCATAAAACAGCATCGAGTACGCCAGAACTGCTTACTCAGATACAAAATGTCAACTTTGTTCGTTCTTCGTTTTGTGTGTTTTCTAGCTCCAGGGAGTCACATTTTGTTAAAAACATTTGTAACAGCCATAGCTGTTAGTGAAACACTTCGTGGTTTGGCGCCGTCGACTGCGCTCCTTATCGACCCAGGCAATTTTCCGCACTCCGCCAAAATAATGCACGAGCCGCTGATAACGATATAACAAGCAAGCAAGACAACATGCATGGTCAGTCGTGGGAGCAACATAACATACCTGGTTAGTAATGCAGTCCCCGCCGGGCGGTCTGGTAGCACTGGGACAGGTGCCCATGTGACCAATAGTTAGCACGAGCAACAATTTTCGGGACATACGCAGATAAAACTGCCTGAGGATTTTCCGATACATTCTGTATCAGAAAGCAAGGGAAAAGCAAGTGCGTTAGTTCACCTTCAATGTACCTGACAGATACCGAGTTTTGTATTCTAAACGAGCTACCAGAAAAATAGTATCAATAATGTGTGTTTGCTCCAATGAACCTTAATTTAAGGGTGCACTTCGTCTTGTCTGTCTCCTTGTTCCTGTTTATTCGGTGCTTTTCGTTTAGCACGTGTGACTATTTGTACTGCACTGACGTACGAAAACACGCTCCGCGCTTACGCAGACAGCCGAAATGCTCTCTACTTAGTACACACTCATTGGTTCCCAAACTTTATTGGGCAAGGGATCGAACTATAGGAGGCGCTTTATCTAGCTTGTTTTTCTCGCAGCCCGGTGTTTAGTTACGCAGCATAACACAGAAATTTAACCTCTTCTAGCACGTTTTGGGAACGAGCACGTACTTTTGACTAGAGCCACTCTATATGGCAGCGTAGCTGCCAGAGTAGCGACACGACGCAAAATTATTTAGATGCACGACGTCAGAAGCGCCGATAGTGATCTCCATTTTGGGCCTGGGAGGTTGCCATGGTAACCGTACTGCTAGCGACGCCGGGCGGCAACCTTTATCTTGTTGATATCTCCATTCGTTAATTGAAAAGGGGTAAAAGACTCAAAAGACGCTTTTGCATGGCGGTACGGTACGGGCCTCTAGAGAAGCGGTGCCTGTTTCTTCTGGGAAATGAGACGATTTGCAGCGTGCACGGACAAGGCGAGAGGTTTTCCGCGCCGCCGGGACGGCGGCCGCTTCGTGGGACGAGCGTACCGTCCTTGCACTTACGGACTTCGCTCTTATAAAACAAAATCCGATTACGCCGGCCATGACTGGAGGATTGCCTTGGGACATGACTGCTGCTCGACTGCCCCATAGTAAGAGAATGTATGCTTAGCACCATACTTCTTCAAGACCCAATCATTCATTCAAGATGAGATTATCTCACCGACTGGCGAGGAGCGACGTCGACGACGGCATCACCCTCGTTTTAGGCGATGAACAGTCGACGGGGTTAAACCAAGGACAGCACGGTGGTCTACAGAGGATTGTTAACGCCATCAAAAAAGACGGACGCCGGATATGAGGTGTTCTTGCCGACAGGCCAAGTGGTGGTCCGGAAGTTTACCGGCGTGCAAAATGTCAACATTTTTATCTGGGGTAGCACGCATACCCGTGTTAAAGGGGCCATGAAATGATTTTTTACCTCTTCTTCCTTAGCATTAATCCTCAACTCACAAGAAAACAGTAGAATCACGCGGTCGTGACATGCTAGTGCACCGGTGCGATGACCCCAAGCTTCCACCGTGCTTTTTAAGCACACCATAGAACTTGTCATTCGCAAGTGCACTCATGGGCCGCGAACGTGAATTCAAATATTCATCGACGAATTGATTGTTGACGAGCGCATACGTCCGAGTGACGCAGTTTTCGTCTCAAATGCGTGAGCTGGGGTCGGCTGACGTCATTATGGCTTTTGTAGGCATTGCAAAGAGGATATTTAGAACCATACACGCATGATAATAACATCATAGCACACGGACATTAATGAGCACAAAACGGGCCCAGCTACAAAAATAAATATTACACTCGTAAAAATAATTTTCTGTAACTTGTTAATAACAAATACGA